CCCACCCTCAGCAAACCAAGTTCAAAGGTCAGGTTTGCCCTGCTCCTACCGACCAGGTGTCAGGGGCCCTGCCTCTTGTGTACCCCATTCATCCTGACACAAGTGTCTGGCCCCCATTCACCTTCAAAACCCAGCCAAGATGACATCTCTCCCTGGAGGCCCTCCCTCCCCCAACCTCTCCCCTCTGACAAAAAGGCACAGTCTCCTGGCTTAAGATGAAAACACAAGGGTGGGTAGGAGTGGGGAGTGTAAATAACCAAGTGTCCAAACTGGTTAAATAAGCCACAGAACATCCACAGAACATTAGGTGGCCATTAAAAATCACATTTCCACGGACTATTTAACATGGGAGAACGCCCCCAACAAAATATTAAGTAACTAGAATATAATCATTTAAAATATATTCCCAGGGACTTCCCTGGCAGTCCAGTGGTTAAGAATCCACCTTCCAATGCAGGGGACGCGGGTTCGATCCCTGGTCGGGGAACTAAGATCCCACACACCGCGGGGCAACTAAGCCCCCGCGCTACAACTAGAGCCCACGAGCTCTGGAGACCTCACGCCACAACTAGAGAGAAGCCCGCATGCTGCAACCAAGACCCGACGCAGCCAAAAAACAAATGCATAAATAAATATCAAATAAATAAATAAGATAAAGTATTTTCCCAATTCTGCTAAAATAGTCACATTCACATATATCACACATGTAGGAAAACAGTACAAAGAATGCCACCGAAATGTACACAGAGGCTACCTCTTCATGGTGGGACTAAAAGCTCCTTCAAAACTTCTTTTTACTTTTCCAAATTCTGAAATTTTGCCTCAAACATTAGTAATCACAATAATGAGATGTCTTGAGTGGAATCCTAAGTGCTTCCTCGTCCGAGGCTTGCATCCCCTCTTCTATTTTTGCCACAATCGCAGCTGACCTCTGCTTGAACTACTCCAGGATGGGGAGCTCACTACCCTTCTTCCTGGTGAGAAGGAGAATCTGGCTCCCTTTACTTTCCCCTCATTGGCCACAACTCTGCCTCCTGGAACCAGAGGACAAGGCTGTGCCCTGTGCCCGTGCCTCTTGATAACACTTCAGAGGTTGGAAGGCAGTGGCCAGGCTCCAGGCTTCATCCTCCTAACCCAACAGCCTGCCAAGAACATGAATGTCCCCCTGTCTTCCGCAACCCTGTTTGCTTTCCTTGGGTACGATCCAGGCGGTGATGTCCTCACCCACGTTCTGTCTTATCGAGGGTGTGCCACTTACCAGTTGGTGTATCAGGGGCTCTATTACATGCATTCTTTCATCTAATCTTAGAACCCTATGACTCAGGAGCTAACATCACACGTATTTTACAGATGAGGAAACTGAGGCACGGAAAAGCCAAGTCCCTTCCACGGTCACTTAATGGATCCACGATGGAGCCAGGACTGAAGTGGCACCTGGCCCAGAGTCAGACAGCTGAGTTAATAAATGAATATGCGGACCCAGTTCTAAAGCCCATGTCCTTAGTGTCTATGGTTTTGTTTCAGAATTAGCTGTGCCCATGCCAGGCTCTCCCATCGTGTTCACTTCTGCATCTCTGCCTCTCTCACCTGGCCTGCTACACGGAAACCCTCCTGAAGGGCTACTGACCACAGAGGCCTGTCTCCGGGAGCAGTGCTGAGCCAGGGTCTCTGATGCGCTGCTCAGAGCTGTGGCACCAGAGCCGAAGCCCTGGGGACACCAGGCACACATACAGGGGACTGACCATGAGGCACTAGCTGTCCCTCCCCACCTTGGGCCCAGACGGGTAACCTGTTGGGGATGGAAGGTCCCTGCGTACTCCCCATGTCACTCCTACAGGCAAGTCCATGGGCTTGCTTCCTCGGCCCTTCCCCTTTCTGTCTGGGCTTCTCCCAAATCCTCCCAGGGATGTGGCCACATCAGCCACAGTCTCTGCCAAAAAGGGTTTCGGAAGGATCACACAATGCAGGTGGTTCTTCGGTATCCACATCCAGCCTGCTAGGGATCCCCACTCATTTTTTTCACCAGGATTTCAACTTTCCCCAAAAGTCCCAGTATCAGCCCCAGGTCAGACCTCTCAGTGGGATCTAGGACAGCTGGTCAGCTAAGGCCACCAGGCACTGTTGACCACAGGATTCAGCAAACCCTCAGGGGCCTGGCCCCTGGAGGGACCTTGAGAAGTCCTAGTGGTCAAGCCCCTGTCCCTAGCCAGCGAAGTCCCCACTGAGAGCGCTGGCCTCATCCCTCACAGCTGGCCACGCCCACTCTCCACAACCAGCACTGCTTCTCAGGCTCAGCCGCTGCTCAGACTGACCTTTCTGCCTCGACTGGGTAACTCCTACCAAACCTTCAACACTCAGCCAAGGCGTGCTCAGCCTTCCTCCAAGAAGCCTTCCTGGGTCTCTCAAAGCTGGGTGAGATACTCCCGCTGCACCCTGGGCTAATCCCTAGTCTGGCTCTCATGTGGCCCTCATTCACTCACTCAAGTATTTATGTAGCACCTGCTCTGGGCTCTGTGCGGGGCAGTGAGCACTAGCCGGGGAGGGCAGAAAACCAGGCCCCACTGCAAAGCTTGGCCACCAACTGACTACGGGACATCACTCCTCCCTTGAACCTCAGTCTCCTCCCCTATAAAGTGGGGAAGATTCGGCAGCTCAGGCTGCTGTGAGGTCAGCAGGATGTGAAAGCACTCTGTCAACTGCCACTCAGGGTGAGTCACTGTTGTCGTGACCTGAGCCTCCTGCGGTCTGAGCTCATTTTTGTACATCCCATCCTCAGAGGCCCCCTCTCCCCCAGGGGGCTGAGAGCCTACTGGGGATGAGCTTGGAAGCTCACGCCTTCTAGGGGTTGGCACTTGGATGAGAAACTGGGCAGGAGCACCGCGCGAAGGGATGGAAACAGGCGTGAACTTTAAACAAAATCAGCTTATAAATCCTGCCACTCAGGGGCAGGGGCCCGGCACTGCTGGGGCAGGAAGAAAAGCCAGGCTGCTCTGAGGCAACAGGCTAAAGGCTTTAAATGCCAAAGGGCTTTGGAATCAACAAGAAGCCACTCTAAGCGCCGAGTAGGGGCAGAGACAAAGAACACTGGGCTAGGGGACTGGACACCTGGGTTCTACTCTAAGTTGCTCTGTGACCTCAGTCAAGACCCTTCCTTCTCCAGGCTTTAACCTCCCATCTGTATGTTGGGTGCATCAGCCCAGGTGGTACCCAAGGCCCTTTCCCACAGGGATAGTCTCTGCTGATTTTACTTGCCCTTCACAGGGGGTCCAGTTCAGGCTGTGCCAGGGACAGACAGGGACAGCTGGCGAGGCTTTCAGAAAGGCCACGAGGCAAGGGAACCCATGCTCACTGTGGTCTCTTCTGGACTATGGAAGAGTCAAGGCCTGGAACAGGGCTCCTCCTCCAGTCTCCTCCCACCACTGTGTAGATGGAATTCACCCTTGGCCCACTTTGCAGACTAAGAGGTTGACACAGGTGCAGAGAACACAGATTCTCAGACTCCTAGAAATCATCCTGCTCATTGCCCTCCCTCTCCATATAGAGGGAGAAACCGAGGCCCAGAGAGTGCTAATGGCTCACTTGGGGTCACACAGGATGCTTGTGGCACAGCTAGGATTAACACTGAGGATCATGTCCACCTATCACCAGTTTGTTATAAATCTCAAGCCAGGCTCAGGTTTATGTGCTCATCATCCCATCAGCCAGCCTCTGCTTCCACTGATGGAGGCAAGCCTCAGTTTTCCTATTGGAGCCAGGGAAGACAGGAGGGTTTCTGGGTCAGAGCTCGGTGAGGTTTTTTGAACTGGGAATAAAGAAAGAGCAAGGAAAGCAGAGGAGGCGCTGTACTTGGGACAGAAACTTCTCCCTGGACTAGGCACAGGGCAGGAAATAGAATCACCCAGGTTGGGGACAGTCCTGCATACTCAATAAGCAGAAAAGCTTGTGCTCAAGCACAGGCAAAGCAGCAGACACTCAAGTTCAATGAAAAATTACTAAATAGTGTCACTGTGTGTGTGTGTGTGTGTGTGTGTGTGTGTGTGTGGCGGGGGGCGGGGCTCTTGAGGTCTCAGGGGACTGATCATCAAGTTTATAGGACCACCTATTCCCACCTGGCTGGAGGGCAGGCAGTCATAGGAAAAAGGCTCAGGACTTGAGGGTCCTCCCTTCCCTCTCTGTGCCTCAGGTTGTCCTCTGGTTCCAGACTCTGACCTTCCGGGCTTGTCAGAACCCAAGGGGCAGCTGGTCCCACTGCAAGAAACCCGAGGAGAGTCTCCTGGGCCCTGCCCCAGCTCGGAGGCCCCTTGGGGGAGGGACAGGAAGGGAGGGAAGGGGAGCAGAAGGCGGTAAATCTCCCCCCCTCGTTGGCCCCTCCCAGCTACCCTTAGGACAGCCCACATGCACCGGCTCCGGGGCCTGAAAAGGCTCTAAACCAGCACTTCTCAAACTTTAAAGCGTAGTGTAATCACCTGGGCATCTTGTTAAAAGGTTCTATTTTAGTAAGTCTGGGGCACAGCCAGAGATTCTGCATTTCTAACAGGTCCCAGGTGATGCCGATGATGTAAAGCCGTGGACCACTCTGCGTGCGAGTAGCGGCCCTAGAGGTAATTTGCCTCTTAAAGGTGGGAAAACCCAAGGCCCAGAGAGGTCAAGTCACATGTCCACGGCCACACAGCCAGCAGCCCCAGACCGAAGGAAAAGGCACCTGCCATAGGCACTAGACATTTCCCCAGCCCGCGAGCCGGAATCAGCTGCCCTTCCCGGGCCCTGGGGCCGTGTTTGTAAACTCGGCTGCCCCGCGCGGCTGAGCCCAGGGCCGTGAGGGAGAGAGCGCCGCCCGGCCGAGACTTCCCCGCCTCCCTCCGCGCCGGCCTCTAGCTGTTCTCCGTCCGGCATCCCCGGCCGACCCGAGGGAACCCGGGGCGCCGAGGGTCCCCTGAGGCGGAGTGGTTCCGCACCTTCCTTCCCCTCCGAAGACAAACTTCTCCGCCGGCGCCCTTTACCTTTTTGTGGGGGTTGCAGCAGCTCAGCCTGCTGTGTCCGCAGCCCATCCTCCTCGGGGGACTCCCGGACGCCGCCTCCCAACTCCGGGGCCCCCAGAGGACCCTGCCGTTCTGGCCCCGCTGCCGGCTCCGCGCCCGTCGGCCGGGGCTGCCGGCGAGACCCTGAAACTGAACCTGGAAGCGCAGACTTGAGCGGGAGCTAGGACGGCCGCGCGCCGTAAATACTCGAAAAACAGGGCCTCAGCGGAGCCGGCTGGGCGCGCGGAGCCGCAGCCTGAGCAGGTGACCAGAATCTTTGCAAATGATAGAAAACTCGGGCCAGGGCCGAAAAGATCCCTACGATCAATGGATTCCTTTCCAGGCCCGCAGCAGAGAAAAGGCCAGGAAAAAAAAATTAAAACAATTATTTAGTAAACACAATAGCTACCATTTATTGAGTTGTTTCTGTCCTGGATTTTTTGCACATATTATTTCCGTTTCTTGCAATCTCCTTGCAACAAAGGTATTAGTTCCTCCATTTTACAGGTGAGGAAAATCAGGCTCCGATATGTGATTTGCCTAAGCTCACAAAGCTAGTAAGTATCAGAGCCCAGATAAAAATCCAGTTCTAACTCCAGAACCTAAGCTTCCAACCATTTCCCTA